GATCAGACAGGCCAGGGGTAAAAAACCACCACCAATAACCTCCGTTTGGTTAATATTAATTGTAAAGTATTACTGAAGGCTAAGTAATCCTAAATTAGAAGAGGTGGCTTTAAGCCTCAATGAAACACACACACAAAAGCCCCAAAAGCCCCTCCCCAACCCAAGCACATGCTCTTCTGATTGTATCTGGAGAGTTTTGCACAGTCATCAAAATTTCACTCGTAATCTCTTTGAGATTTTCCAGGGCAGTAGTGTCCACCCCTGTTCCCCACCCTCTAGACTATTCCCTAATGTTTACACAGCAAAAGAAAATTCTGTCAGTAAAACTTTCACTGGTTTATTCCTTTCAGCTAGAATATCCCACCTTTGGTAATCGTTCGCTTTCATTGCCATACAAGAGTTCAATCATCCATTGCTGAAAAAAATAGTCACCGTGTAAGGATACAACAGACATTCTCAAACACCTACTCTCTGCACCTAATCCTCCAAATCCAAGCGCCTATAGTCTAAGACAGGAGATGTGCAAGAAATTAGTAATACTTTTTAAAAAAATAAGTTTTCTTAGGGGAAATCTGGTCGAAACGGAACTTTAAACAAATGGACTTCCATTGCAAGCACTGTCCCCAAATAAATTTACTGCACCCTCGAATCAAGTCCACTCAAGGATGGAATGTCATGCCAGTCATGTGTTACTTCGACCTCAATATATCTCTTTCTACTCTTCAAATCCTAGGCTACTTTCTAAAATAGTTCGCTAAAAAGCACCAACCTAATTAACAACAGCTTCCTCTGCAACAGTGGCCTTGATTTCACTTATTTACACATTAACTGCAGCCTCCTTTTGGCCAATCCAGTCTATTCTCTGTACCATGCCGAGCCTTTTATCTGCCCTGGACAGCATTTTCTCCAGCAGATGAAGTAGATGCCGATTGATTTGCTGTCGAGCATGGTAAATTAATAGCAACAAATTGCTGAGGGCCCGTCTCGCTGCTCCACCATGCTTCGGCAGTTTTGCTTTATTTGCTCCATGATGGGCAGCAGTCGGCCTCTTCAAGTCAATTTCTTCTTAACAACCTGCAATACTTTTCAATGGTGAAAATAGAGCTGTTCCTTGTAAGTCAGAAATCAATATCCTATTGCCCTTAGAAAATGCTAAACAAGCAGTATTGGCAATCCACTTGGTACTAGAGGGTATCAGATATAATGCAAATCCATACTGCTTCCCTCCTTGTAGTTATTACAGTTTGCTAAAAGGTTCCTAATGTCATTTATCATCATTTACCATCGACCAGAGAGGCTATGATTATGATATCCTATCAGTTGGCAAGGCCCTTTCATTTCTATTCAATTAATATTTTAGCTGCACTCAAATGGTTGTGGCCCAAGTCTCATAATGAAATTTACATGGCTTGGAGTGAAACAGGAGTTTTCCTGCTCTGATTAAAAAATACAACAATTATATATCTATAGACACATATGTACACATATACGTACATACACATATATATACACACACACGCACACACAGACATGTGTATATAAATGTGTAGTATTCACTTTTAGGTTCTAAGTGTTGTAGGTTTCCAAAAGTTTCTAATTCTAAAATTCAAATACTAAGCTACATTTTTTTAGAAGCAAAAAAAGACCTTCAGACTACAGAATACTGACTACGAAAAAGTCGCGAGACGTTCTCAAAATGTGGTATATTCATCTCCATTTAGAGTTCCTATAGGTGGAACTCACAGACCTACTGTTCCTAATCTACATCCAATATTCACTTTTTAAAGTGGAAACTGCTGCTGTCAGATTAAATCAAGGAGATCTTCTTTAATTACAGCATTACAGGTGAAGGATGGGAATGAGCAGCGTTTAGCAATGCTATCAACTGCATGCATCACCCTGTTCTGCCCACAGTCACTGACCCTTTTAGAAGTCACACTGTATTAATAAAAAGGAACAATCAGCAAAAAAAGTAACAACTAAACCATGGGCCAACTGTTCATCCAGAACAACAACAGCAAAAAAAAAAAAAAAAAAAAAAATTCAAAAAACCCCACACTTAGGGAAATCCTTAGGGAATAAAGGCCAACATTCTTTCATTTAAGAAAATTCCAATATGAAGACATCACAATAAAACATGTGTCATTTCTAACCAGGTCCCATTTGTCATCTTCATGTTCATGTGGAACTTAAGACAGTGGTAAAGCATTAATTTACATTATGGCCTAGAACAGTCCATTCTAACTTTTCTGGGTTTTTTTCTAGCTTCCTCTGCTCAGCTCTATCGACCCTACTAAAGAGTACCAGAAATTAGATTCATATTTTATGCTCTAATTCCATGTCATGTCACTGAGTTCCCCTTTAAAAAAAAAAAAATCAACTAATTCTACCAGACTAATGCTATTTACTCAGTTACCAAAATTTAAATTAATTATGTTCTCAAACATAATTGTTAAAAATTGGCAACATTATGCAGGCTTAATTAAGATTAAATCCAATTTACTAAATGTACTTTAATTGGTACTAATTACATTAGCTTTCATTTCAGAATGACAAATTCCCCATAGATTTCACTCTATAGTCCTCTATCAGAATCAACACAGAGTGACTGACGATGAACATCATACAGAAAGGGGAGGGGCCATAATACCAGGCCCCCCACCCTGTTTTGTCACTGCTCTGTGCTTTTATCCTTTTATCAATTTGCTAAGTCACAGAGTCATGACTCCATCACAGCCATCATTTTCTGTTCCAATGAAAAATTTGTCTAAAAATAAATACTCTGTGGCTGGCAGCAGCCAAGAAGAACAGGAGCATTAACCAAAAAATACACAGAGGTTTCGAATATCAGGGCCACCAATTACTAGGGTACTTCCAAGGACTCCGGGGACTCCTACTCTTGAACCCTTGAGAGACACAAATCTAATAAGTGAATAAGCCTAACCCGATCTTGAGAACTAGGCCCAATTATGCCGCAGGGCAACTTCCCTGCATTATTGCTGCTTTCCATTACGAGGGTATCCAGCGAGTGCATCTGGAAGAGAGGCCAAGAGGAACCAAGGCTGTCTGCCTAGGAAAACAAATAAAGACAGATATGCCTCTGTGCTTAAGGGGGGAAAGAAAGAAAATATAATAAGTAGGTGGTTTGCAGGGCTGTCTGTATTTCATAATGTGATAAACTGCCCTCAGGATTCTTGATATGATTGAATTTAAAAGCCAAGGAAAAAAAAGGGAAAATGTACTCCATTCTCAATTTTAAATGGATGGCATTTGAGGCCACCTGGACAAGAGGATGAAAGAATTACAGAGGTACAAAATGTGCAGAATTAAGGGATCTCACACACTAGCCCCCCTCCCCAAAGAAATGCATACAATCAAATACAAGCTCTGTGCCTCTCAGAACTGCAAATTGTATAAAGAGATCTGGAAACTAAGTGTTATGGTAAATAAGATACAGGAGGAGAAATAAAAGAACATTAATCATCTGGCTCAATCTTTAAGAAGACATTAATTAATCTTGGATGGTGGGGTGAGGACCAAAGAAAAAAAAAAAACACACATGTACAAGATCCAGACCTAAAATGACATGTAATAGCACAATTAACAAACAATCTCTCATGTAATTTATTTCTGTAAGGTAGAGCTAAGGGGAGTCCACACATAAGTTTAACGGATTTTTGTTTAAGCAGGAGATATTTACATTACGAATCTAAACAGAAATGGCAAAGATGCCAAAATAAGAACTTAATTTTAATGTGCAGCAAACTATACTATGTTAATATTGACATAATTAAATAGCTTATGAAGTAAAAATAAGTATCTGAAATAAAAAATCCTCAGCATAAGTGATGACTCATTTTTTTCCAACTTTCTGTTTTCAAATACTGTTTACCCGATGGCTTTTACTGTGCAACAGTCATCCTTGAAAGATCTACTATCTGTAAGTATGTGGGTAATTAAGCATACCCAGAAAGGAATCCATAAATAGTAAAAGCCTAATAATATGTGATCAATTTGTATGTTTTAAACTTAGAAAGTAATCATATCTACCATGAGTATATATAAGAAATGAAAAACATTAAGTTTTCCCTCATCTTTTCCCAACAGGTAAACACATACACAACTATTCTGAAATAGGTGATGAGACAGACCTGAAGCACTTTCACTTGGAGATCACTAAAAATAAAATATTACTGCCAAGCAATATTTTTTATATATACACTATTTTTTATGTAGAAAATTTAAACCAAAATTTAAACCAAACCACTTTATTCAGTTTCCTGGGGCGGGGGGGGGGAAGGCTGTTTGAGTCATACCTCTCAACACTTTCTGACTAATCATTATCTTTTTTGTTTTGTCTTTTTCTTTTTTGGCCGAACTAGTTTACTAAATGTGAAGGCCCAGTGCCGAACCTTATCACACCCTCCTATCAAGCTCAATTTACCCTGTACAAATTTTTGGAAGTACAGCTACAGTTCCTGGTTAAGACCCAACTAAGTAGCCTCGGGGGACTGGTACCAAGATTTTAGTTTACATCAATTTCTTTGTAGCTCCACAGATTTCATTGTGATCCTCCCAGCTCACCCTTTATCCATTCTTTCACACCAAGCCAAGGAAGATTCCACACAATTTACAGTTCCTCTTTTTAATATTTTCTAAGAAAAGCCCTCTCTTAGGACAAGTTTGCAATGCCTGAAATAAATTAACTCTTTCAAAAGAAAAACAAGACATTTTTTAAAATTTAGCATCCTGCTTTTCAAAGTGGACAAAATTTAATATGCATTCAGACATTTTAAACCATGTTTTTAAATGATTAAAATCAGGACAAAATGCAAAAAGGATGGGGAACCACACCTGAAAAGATAGTATTCTCTTTCAGTAGTCTTTTAAAATACAGGAAGTCACAAAAACATGCAGAATAAAACTGCAAAACATACAATTTTCTTTCTCAAGTGTACAGTATTACTGTCATTTCAAATGGTTATAAAGAAATAACTTACCTGCTTGTGCATTTCTATATTCAACCCATAGGACATCTCATAATACTGTCAAAGAAGGGAAAGCAATTAATTTCGTGCCTTTCATCAGACTCCCTAGTTTGTTCCAAATGCCCCAAGTATGCTTAAAACAAACATAAAAGCCTCACTAAAGCAAAATATCCACAATACCTATGCTAAGGAGGAACATTTAGCTTTAATAAACTAGCAGCCACCCTAAGACACAGACTCTGAGTAACTCACAAAACTAAGAAAATCAAGTTCACACGTAGCATTCTTAACATCTCCAGCTGTCTTTATACATCACAAACAGATGAATCAAAAAGACCTGACGAAAATTTAGTGCCATATGGACTCTAATTCCAAGGCATAGCGGCCAAGTTAATGGCAAGTGTCTCATAAAAATGCTGGCGCTTTGAAAGAACTATCCAGAAAGGTGATGCTACTTCAGAGTTCCGTTTCTCATTTTTAGTGTACTGCTCATAAGGAAAAAGGCTGGATAGGAAATGAATGAGTTACTCTGGAACCTTTATGAACAAGCATAAAAACATGCTTGGTTAAGACTTCTGAAAAAGCAGATCTGATTTTTTTTTTGGGGGGGGACGTGTAGTATAACTGTCATTAGAGAAATTCTGGCAGAACAGATCGGTTATACAGGAGACGACAACGCTCCTCAAACCAATGTAACACCACAGAAACTGAAAACACACAAAACACATGCACATACAAACACACACTAGTAACATAAAAAGCGGGAAAATTTTGAAAAGGTGTCTGGTGTCTTTTGATATCCATCATTCTCTAAAAAAAAAAAATGAAACCTTAAAATTCTTGCTGCATACAAAGAAATTGGTTAAGATTGTTTGGAACAAGAGCAATAAAACAACAAAGAAAACCACTAGCGCAAAAACATTTTGCTTGTGACTCTCAACAAAACATAAACGAGGTTCTTTTTTTTTTTTTTCCAATCTATAAAAACAAAGCACAGAGGATCATACCCCACGCAGCTGAACTTCTTGAAAATTCAAATCAAAGCTAGTTGTCAGAAGCAAGTTATAACATCCTGGAATTACAGGTTGCTAATGATCACATTCCCACAACCCCAACTGCACTGGCACGCTGTGACTGGGATCTATCCTACAGCCTCCAGCAATCTGAACATATCCTTGCTTTTGGTATCCTAAACTAACAGGCACTTTGAATCTGTGACACAGTTTTCTTACCATGACATAATGCCGCTGCATCTCTGTCTTCTCACTGGCGAGTTTCTCACATTCCAGCTTCAGGCTGTTCAAGACATAATGAAATCTAAGTACAATGCAGACCTTGACTTACATTCTTCAAATGTAAATAGACATTCTAAATCATCACCTACAAAACCCCAAATCAACTATCTTAAATTGCACCTCATTATTGAAGGAGAGGTGGTGGGAGAGAAAGGGGTGACTGGAACCAGCCTGGACTTGCCCTTTCAATGAGGATCAAACCTGGGGTTTTTGTTTAAGAAAAAAAAAAAAAAAAATCCTCTAGCCAATTTAATTCCGGAACCGCATCCAGAAATGAACATTTGCTAAATTCATTTAATGAAAGAAGAAAAAGAAAATAAACATCAATAACGTGTACATACCCAAGCACAAATTTAAATCCCCCAAAATGTCACAAGGAAGGTTTTTTTTTAATGTTCCACGAAGAGATTAACGAAAATATGAATCAAGCATGTCTTATGAATGATGTCTTATTTGTTCCCTCCAAAACAGAGACAAGTTGAATACCACCACCCAGGGGCAAAGTGTGGATCGGGTTCAGTGGCTCGTTTTGGTTCTTGCATTTAAGAAATAAGAATTACACGTCATTAGAAAGCCAGAGAAAGAAAAATATTTCAAAGGCACTCTAAGTCTAACGATCGCCTGTAAGAAGAAAACATTTTTCAGCATAAAAGTAATGAAATCGCTCACTTGCGACTTCCCAGGGCTCTCAGCTCATGGTATTTCAGTGGAACGGCAGAAAAAAGTGAGACGGAATCAAGCCCGGAGTAATAAAGAACCAAGGAAGTCAAAAGGCCCCAGAATCTTTCCAATCTTCCATTCTCCTGGCCCCAATAAATCAATATCGAAAGTTTGGCCTCAGCATTTTCCAAGTCTCCCCAGTTTCGATTGTTCTGCCTCCTTTTTATTTATTTACAGAAGAAGGAAAGAATGTTTAATTTCTTTACACCTGCCTAAGGAAAAGAGGCCTTGACTTGCCCTTTCTGCCCACAAGTAAAAATGATAATACCACATTTGTGGCGGCCAAAAAAAGGGGGGGGTGTGTTTGTGTGTGTATGTGGGGGGGAAGACAAGAGCTAAGCAAACAGGAGGATCAGCTAAAGTCAATATCGTTACCTGTGGTATTGAGCCTGTAAAAACTGAAACTCTTCCTTAATCCGATCACAGGACTCGGAAATTGTAAATTTAAAGGGTTGAGCAGGCTGATGCGGTGCCTAAAGAACAACAATAAAATATTTAATTAGCCCACATCACAGGCGAGGCAGGGAGATGGAAAAAACATACCACGCGGCGTTAGCGGGGGGCGGGAGGGGTCACCGCGCAGGCAGGCAAGCAAAGAACGATTAAAACTCTCATCTAGGCCCCCCCCGCCCCGCCTCGCCGCACAGCCCGGCAGGGGCTGGTTTCGGGGTGGCCCCCGGCCCCCGCGTCCTCTGGCCCGCCCCGGACCCTGCGGGTTCGAGACTCCGCTCCGCTCCCCCGCCAACCGCGGACGCCCGGGGGCCGGCGCGCCGCGCCCACTCCCTCCCCACCCGGAATCGAAACTGGCCCGTCGGGGGGACTCGCGCCATGGCGTCTGGCCGCGGTCAGGTCGGGGGAGGGGGCGGG